AAGTTTTCACCATTATCGTTCTAATCGTCGAACTAGTAAGTGTATAATCCATTTGAAGTGTTCTCACCTATTTCAAGTTGTATATGATGGGAGTAGCACGGTGGTAGTGATATTTGCTGTCACAAGCATGAATCTTAATCGATTCTGCTCGGGGTCAACCAAGCCAGTCTTCACTCCGTGGTCGGGGAATTGGACCGAACTTCTCCAGGAGAAAAGTTGCTCTCTGCAATCCCACTGCGAACGCACCTGCCCGGCTATATCAGGACTCCAGGCAGAATCGAATCCACCAGCATTCTACAAAGTTCAAGATGAAATCGAAATCGTCAAGCAGTAGCCGATGCCACATGGAAAAGTTGGAAGTCTTCAATGAGTGATGGATGCGAGGAAACAAATCGAATGTGAGAAGTGCTGAGAACCGCACAGTAGAGGTGAAGACCACTCACATGAAATTATAAAAAAACATGTTATATGTATATATACATATGTATATATATATATTGAAATTCGGTTCGTTTTTTGACCAGTAAGAAGCTTTTTATGGAGATCCAAATAGTCCACAGTGTTCGATACTCGAATGTCTTCCAACTTCAAGTATGTTTTATTAGGAAATCGTCAAATCAATTGTGGTTTTGACGCATGTGGACTTTCACAAAGTCGCATACCTTCAATGGCCAATGTGTAAATGATGTTCACTATCAATGAGAAATATCCCGTAGCTCGTGGTGGAAGATTACGATGTGACTGTCATTAATCCTATACACGACCATAGTTCATTTTCCTGCAGTAAACGGCCTTCCTCATCTTCGAGCTCGAAATCACCAGATCGGAATTTCCGGGACCATGTTAGCAACTTTTGACTCACCAACACTACCTTCACCCCAAACTTCACTAATGTTTCGAGTCGTCTATGCTGCACTACGACCGAGTTTGGGCTCATAAAAGAAAAATTGGCGAAAATTCGTTTTTGGTATCTGGAAATGCAAAGTTCTAAGCTGAAAAAAATTTTAAGAATTAAACCATCTTTTTGATTATTTATAATTTTGCAAGGTACAGAACAATTTCAGTTTTAAAAAGTGCCCTAAAATAGTAAATATTTCAAAACGCCCATTTATTTCTGAACCGCTTAATAGTTATAGGAAGTTCAACCCTCCAGAGTGACCTGTAGATGAGAATCCAGTGGGAAATCTCGCGCAATCGTGTCCACGTTAGAATCTTAGCATATGACATTCTTAAATGCTTAACACAAGTTGGAAGGTATACTTGACTTAAGATATGTATTTTTGGTGAAAATTTGGAAAGTTCTCACATGGGGGTTTTTTAGGTTCTTTTGACAAAACATGAGAATGCGTTTTGAAAAGCTACTACCTCTCACTATTTGATTTTCCGTATACTACCTTTATGACATAAAGATATACTAAAACAGACATAGGGTATCCATCCAGACAATTTGTCAACCCCGGTCGACGTCCATGTGGGTTACAAAACCCTCAAATCACAGCCAATAAATTGTTGGAACCTGCACTACATGAAATAGCACATCATTTCAAAAATGCAATCAAGTAGAGGCCTCTTCAAGTTGTCTTAACCGGTTTCGAATTAGGTTCCTATGTTGAAGTAGTAGAAGTAGTAGCCTAGTAGAAATTTGCTTCCTTTTTCAGATATTGCCCACGGCAGCACAAAGAAATTGAAGATGAAGTTCACCTGCTCCAACCCAATGAAGTCGAAAACGAATTTTACCTGAATATAAAACTGTTGAATTAATGATTTCAACTAATTCAACTTCATTCACTCAAGTGATGGAATGCGTTGCAATCAATAAAGCTACGTTGATGCAACAACACCAAGCAATCTTTCTGCTACCTTCCATCGATTCGTCGTGTCGTCTTGTTTAGTCACGAAACTTCCTAGGCATTCCCGAAGTAGCGAGTTGAGGTCTAAGCACAAGTGGAAAGTGATAACGAACATTCGTTGAGAACTGTGTGGATTTAGACGATTAACTTCGCCCCTGCTACCTACTGGTTGCTTCACATATTTTGTTAGACCATAATAATACTCAATTCTGCGCCGGTATCCCTGTCTCTATGCGGATCATTCTTTACATGTCATTTCGGATTAACAACAAGGAGTCAAGTCACTCGGAAGTACTGCTTCGGAGGTGATTGGCTGAGGTCTCCAAAATGCAAATCTCAAAAAATTAACGTTAACATTAAGCCGATTAACAGTGGCTCGTAACTCGAATGAAGAAAAAATTCGCCTGTGTCTGTTCGAGTGACCTAATGTTAAACATCAGGTGGTTAAGGAGGTTTGTTTGAGGAAGTTTGAGGAGATCGGACAGGAGACTGTATCGTGCTTTGTAGAACGTAAACTCTTTTCATAAAACTGTGGTATTAGACGAAAATAAATTTCTCGAATAGAAAATTATTTCATGGGATGCATGAGACAAGTAAAACTGGTTTAAAATAAAACTGAGTAAGTAAGTATTAGGCCACCTCACATACATCCCAAGTAAATTGAAGCGACTTAAGCCATACTTTTACAAAGCATTTGCAGCCATGTTTCTAGGTTAAAATTTCGAATTCCATTAGGCATAACCAATTATAATAATGGATACATTTTTCTTTCTAAAACGACATTCTGGGCGCGTATGGCACAGTGGTCGGAGGCACCCTGCAACACACGTGGAATCGACCCCCGCGTCCATGACCCACCGAGCCTTCCATTCCTCCGGGGTCGGCAAAGTCGTACCAGACTTGTCTGGAAGGATAGCAGCACTGACTCGATCCATCAGTAGGTAACCGCGAGTCATTGTGAAGGCCATATATGCATTGAATCACCTCCAAACGTTGTTCAGTGAAGTCGAATGCATGGCGCATCCCTCAGAGAATGACTAACGCCAAGAGCTTCACCCTTTTTATTTTTAATTCTACATTATGGGACTTAATTTTATCTCGCTTGAGAAAACCTCACTAAAAACGCATTCCTCTTTGCGTTATTTTAACAGTGTGATGTTTCACTCATCTTGACTCCTCTAGGATTGACTAGAAAGACCCTCATTGGAAACAACCATTGTGGACGCACAACTCTAATCATTGTTGTTCCAAAGAAGACGACGACGCCGAAAAAAATCGCTGTCTGCAAAGGAATGCAGCAAAACATTGGTTACTCATACTGACTCTAAATGAAAGTTCATTTTGAGACATGATTCCCAGGTAATCATCGATTTCGTCATGAAGATAATCGATTGAAGGAAAATAGTAGTCGAACGAATCATGGCAACACCAAGTTTGTATAATAAATGAGACTCGCTTCATTTTTTCCAGCAGATTTTTTATCTCAAATTGATACCTTGGTGTAGAAAACTTGTCTTTGTGAACTGTGGCATCTTGTGATCCGTAGATCGTACAGCTAGCCTAATGCCCTCAAAAACTTCGAAGACAAATGCTAGACACCTTCTTCCATGCCAAATATGAAATTTTTGGATCGACCGCAAAAATAGCTCAGCGATCTACGGAATACTCACTAGTGAAAATTTTACAGCCTGAGAAAAAGAAATAATATTTCACAGAGAAGTGTCAAGTTTGAAACAACTCAAAAAACCGGCGGATTTTTTAGTCCTCTGAGTTGATAATCATCCAAAAATATTGAATATTTAATGACGACGCAGACATCAACAAAGGCACTGAATAAGCTTATGGTCCAAGCATTAACTAAACTAATACATTAAATAACAAAGGTAAAACTATAAGACAATATTTAACTTCCGTAGCTGACGATGGCAGCCCGTCCAAGTGGTCAAGAACCTGAAAATGATAATATCTCTCCGCGTGATGACACTGTACAGACTTGCATTAGTGAAAAATAAGCAAGCTCATGTAGACTTGCGGCAAGAGAGAGTAGGCACCTTTTTTTAATTTAAAAAATACGACCTACGACCGAAAAGGTCAATGCATAAAGGTGACAGACCACAGCCAATAAGGTTATTTTGGCTGCTCTCGTTCATTTTCGCTGGGTGGACAAATTTAAGAAAAATTTGTGAGGGACCAACAAATTAAACGAATCAACGGAAAGTGTCAATTTTTTATTTGCAGCCGATTATAATTTTTCACGGCAGGGTATGATGTGAAATATAATCACAGCGATGCTGAGATAACCGCAAAACCTGGAGGCTGGGCCAGATCGAACCATCACTGTCCTTTTAAGGAGCTCGCGTATTACACACTGCACCATGAAAGCCCTTGCTTTTCCTTCCTCCCAGCTAGTTTTCTACCTAACGCTGCCATAAGCAATCAATCGTCAGCGGGATTGTTCGATTCCTGAACACATACTAGAATTGGACCCACGGATAGTGTTCCTGAAAGGTTCCCAGTCTACTACCGCCTGTCCTCTATATTTCTTCTTAAAAACTTCTCTTCCTTTTACAATGAAGAAGTTATTTTAAAGCCTTTCTTTTAAAGCATCCGATAACGCTCCTTCTCATACGAAATGATTTCCTAGTTGTTATTTTGTTTCTGTAAGAATCAGCCTAGTTAGATTTATGTCTTGATTTCAAAATAATGAACCATTAAGACGATCTATGGCAGATACATTTTTCAGGGAAAGAAATCTAGAAACCTCAGGGTTCTTCTTTTGAATATTCAAAAGCGTATGACGGCGTTTAAACTTCTATTGATTGTTCCATAACAAATGCATTGAAATAAACCAACTTTGAGCTGTTTGACGGTGGATAAAACGAGTTGAAACCGAGGCGATTCGCTAAGTGAGAAGTAGTCGGACAACTTTATGGCATACGGTGAACAAACCTGGAAAGAAAGCTGCTACAGTGTTCACGTAGAACAATAAAACGCACACGACCATTTTTGAAGCATTAATGAGTATAGAGAGATGCAGCATGAGCTTGGATTGTCTTTAAACCTTTAATTAAACCTTCCAAGATCTTTCCGACATTCCCACCTTCTTGCATGGAGATGGTGCGGAGATGATCCTCTTTCCTCTTCGATGACCTAAGCTAAGAACGTCTTGTTCTTGTTATCGAAGATACCACCACCTTTGGGCCAGTACTTGTAATCGTTAGCAACTTGAAGGAATCTGTTACCTTCCTTGAAAAGGAAGTGGTCTTTGATGAGTTGGTTTTGAACTTCTTTCGTCACACCATCGAAAGGATAATGTGTACCTTGTAATTCAGGATCAGTTATGGTCTCAAACATTTTCTTCACTATGGCTGCCATTTCGAGATAGATTGCCTCACTAAGACAAAGATTGAATGGATATCCAGGAGAGAATACCCATACCTAATTTGAGTAGAATTGATGAGCCTTTTCAAGCTCGACAAGCTGAGCCATTTATCCCTCTCCGAGGTCAGTTGCAGGTTGCTTCTGAATCAGCAAGAACCCATTACGGTAATCCTAAATCACAGAACCAAAGAGCGGCTTGAACACAGTGTACTTTTCGGTATCCGGAGTATAGATACCAATACCAGAGCCGAGGTTGGCAACTCCGCGCTGAATGACGCAAAGAATTGTGCCTCCCAACTTCGTCTTCTTGTCTTTAAGTTGATCTACAACGCCCTTGGTGAGGTATTTCTTCAGTAAGGAATGACAAGCCGACGCATTCTGAAATTTCTCATAACCTTCCGCGATTTTATTGATGACTTCGGGAGAGACGGACATGCTCGGATACGCGACATTGGGAATTACAAGGTAAGTACAGAAGGGAGCGGATAGCATAGTGGCAGTGATGCTCGTCATCACGACCATGGTGCTAATTCGGTTCCGCACCGGGTCAACCAAGCTTCTCATCCCTCCAGGGTCGGGAAAATCGCACCAGACTTGTCTGGGAAAAAAATCACTCCCTACAATCCAACTGGGAACGCTTCAGCTCGGCTACCTTAGGACTCCAAGGAGAATTGCTCGACCAGCAATCTACGACATTCAAGATAAAATGAAAATCCTCAAGCAGCCACAGAAGCCACACGTAAACTTGGAAGATCAACGTGGATGATGGATAGATGAAAACGAATTGAATGTAAGTTGGCAGATTTTTGTGGACGATGGATGGGTGGACACGAATTGAATGCGAGAAATGTTGGGATCCGCACAGTATACGTGAAGACGTGTCAAATAAAATATAAAATAGAAATGGGTTCAAAAGGTCGTTGTAAAATATTAATTTCTACTTCTATGGTCCCACATAGGTATCTAATGGATAAGATCATTTCATATTTATAGACAACATTTATGTTTGATTAAGGCACTTGCAATGGCTAAAGGTGCCCTGCGGTACATACGTGACTTGTCCTATCCCGCGCCCCAAGTTCATCAAGATTACTGTCCTTCCGGGATTGGTAAATTGGTACTGGTCTTCTTTGGGAGGGTAGGAGCACTTACGCAATACGTCGGTAGAACACGAAAGACATTTTGTAGGCCACATATGCATTCAATCACCTCTAATGATGCGTAATGAAGTCAAACCCATGGCACGTCCCTTACGGACTGATCAATGCCGACCGCTTTACCCTTTTACGCTTTATTAAGGTTAAGCTAAGTGATATGCAGTAGCCGTTCTTCGTCGGCAAACTAATACCATAGTTGTCCAAGAAACTGCGAATACTGGTTTGATACATCGGTAGGCCATGTCAGGTGCAGGACGTATCACTTAGTGATATACTAATGCAGAAGGCCTCGTCTCTTTTTACCTTGTTAAAAGTTTACTCGGCGCAAACCAATAACAATTAAATAAAAGGTGGAGATGAATAAATCTTGGACTTCTTCGATAACAAGTCCAGATCTTCCAGTGAATTGTCGTTGTCCACTTAGTGTTTTCAATGACTTTCAATTCAGGAACACAGCTGGTGCAGTGGAATCTAGTTTTACCAAGGTTTAGCAATCAGGTAGGAAGGCATTTGTTGGAGAAAAATTACCGTACCACACAATCATAAATATTCTTCTATAAATAAAAAAAGAAATTTTTTGAACCAATTCAACTCTTGCTTACTATGTGCAATGTTGTCGAAGAATGGTTAACCACAGAAAATTTTAAACTGTTAAAGATCTAGGAAAATAGGGCGAACATCACGCCTCAACAGAAAACTTTGCCAGATGCGGAATAAAGTACAGACCAGTTAAAGCGTCACTAGCCTTTCATGTTGACGTACCTTTTCTGCACCTCCGGTATGCCACTGTGTTTTCGTATGGTTGAGACCCATATTCTTACCAAACCATTCGACTCTCATAAAGGCCGAACCAGGTTCACTCATCTCCGGCATCAAAACTATCCTACATAAAAGGTCCTGCAATAAACGACAGTACTTTATAACCATTATTAAATAAAATAAAGGATAAAGCTTTCGGCGTTGAACAATTCCTGAGGGATGCGCCATGTATTCGACTTCATCAAGCATCGTAGGAGGTGATTGAATGCATAGCTGGCCTTTACAATGACTCGCAGTCGCGGTGTATCGAGATAGTGCTGCTATACTCGCAGACAAATCTGGTACCAATTTGCCGACCCCGGAGGGATGGAAGGCTTGGTGGGCCATGGGAGCGGGGATTGATCCTCGTGTGTGTCGCAGTGGCGCTTCCAACTACCACGCCACACGCGCAGTCGGAGACTTAGTTGGCAAAAATGCTGAGAAAGCGTTTTCGTTCACGGTTAGTTACGTTTGTTTTTCTGTTTCATTGTGCTTAGAGAAGACTGGAAAATGTAGTATGTAAAAGGCAGAAGTGAAGGAAAGAAATTAACTCAGAACTCACTTCGCTACTGTTTCATAATCAAAAAATATTTTACAACGCTCACTTAATGAAAGTAAAACAGCTTGACTGAGAAGCATAAATCTAAGACCTCGTTTCATTTTCGTTTATTATAAGACATAGCTCGTGGTCAGGGGCTTTTTTCGAGCACTCAAAAATTCACCGTGCAACTTACACAAGCAGAATGCCACATTGAATTGATTCATTAAATAGTTCCATCCATTTTAAGCAAACCCGCTTAAACTACGACAAACTTGTGGAGACTAAGCATTAACCTCAGCACCCAGTCAACCAATGATATCCGGATATTCACAATTCGATTTTCCAAAAGTTTCTTTACAATCGCAGTTTAAAAGAAAACGTATCTAACCTCGAGAACCACTGGTTCATCACTTTTGATAGCAAATACAGCGAAATAACTTAATAGTGTAGCAGTACAGAAAATTGGTTTGTTGCAAGCTTGAAAATTACATTTCAATAGACATCCCAAGAGCTTTGTCATGTTTCTGATCAATAGTCTAGTAATGTCACTGCCACTATCAGTAAAACCGAACGAGTAACCAAACCTTCGGCAGTAGCCTCTCGAAGGAAACTTGCAGTCGGTTAGCGATATCTGTGGCGGCCTTTGATGACAGAAATCCAGCTCGCTCTAGAACGTCGTGAGGAACCTCACTTCGAAGCATGTCGACGTCCGTGGTGGAGTAGCCAGCTGAGAGGTACAATCCTAAATTTTTGGCATGCCAAATACACAGCAGTGGCGTTGCGCGATCGTTAGCCATAATTTGAATGAAGTGTAGAACATTTTATTCGAGGGTTGGCAAAAAAAACTTTGAAAGTTTTGAACTCGATTTGGTTTCCCATGTCCGTCAAAAGTTGCTCATGAATACTGCGCAAATATGAGCAACTCATAACCGACAGCAAACAGCAATAAGGGGCGGTAGAAGCCAGAAAAATAGACCAACATTTGGTGTGTCAAATGGTATAGCAAAAATCTATATAAAAAGACATATTATGCAGAGCGAATCCGGAAAATAACGCTTGATGGTACAAAGGCATGAGCACGGCATCGGAAAAACGACACAGAATGAAAAATTATGGGTAGTAACTACATCAGTAGCACCTGCATCATCTGTTGCCACACCAACCGTCTAGTGACTCGAGAGGGAGCAAGTAAATCTTTCACTTTCCTGGCGCGTGCAGGAGTAGTCAGGTGGGTTCCGCTTGCTCTAGGAACTCGTTGAGCATCATAACTTCTTCAAAGCGTTTTGTGAAGAACTCTAACCATGAGGTAGGCGACTTCCAGCAGTACAGAAATCCCGAGAAATTCAGTCACCAGCGGATATTGTTCATCGGTTGTCCATCATACGAATTACGTGTCCACCACACCTTATCTTCGAGAGTTTGGCGTATAGAATCTTTGAATTTCGATGTTGACGCAAGTCGAAGATTCGAATTCCTTCCCTCAGTTGTGTGAGACGCGATAATCCAAGCAACGCCTTTCGATTGCGCGTTCAATAAACTGAGTGATCGTCTATCCTGCTTACGCAGCGACCAGGTTTCTGACGCATACGTTAAGGCAGGAATTACCGCTGAGTCGAAAAAGTGGGCACGGAGTCGGGTGTTCTTTGTTCTCTTCACTGCAACCACGATGCTCTTGAAAGCTCCCCAAGCCGCTCGTTTTCTCCTGCTCAACTCTGGAGCTAGGTCGTTCATCATATTGATTTCGGCGTAACTGGAGCATTCGGAGATGGTAGTTCCACTAACCGTGTGTGGTGCGAACGTAACCAATCCATCCTTAATGAATATCGTTTTTTGGGCTTTACTCGAAAACCAGTCCTTCCACTGAACTTCTTAAAGCGCTCCAGCACTTGTTCCACCTGAGCAGTGCTTAGTGTTATAAGAGCGTTGTCAACATCAAGGCGAAGATTGTGTAATCATCACCCATCGAATTTAACTCCCATGTTGCACCATACCAATGCTCGCGCCACACTCTCAAGGTGAGCGGTAAATAATTTTGGCGAGATGGTATCGCGTTGCCTAACGCCTCTTTTGATGTGTACGTTAATGTTGTTGTATAATGGTGATATCTTGGTAGTGAATTATTACACAGCCCGCAAAGAATGTTCATATACTAAGTAGGAACTTCAATGATGTTGAGATATTTGCAAAACCCGGACCGCTGGTGTCTATGATGGGAAACGAACGCGCTTTTGTCTTTTCCAGGGAGCAACGCATTCACTACCACACAATGCGGGTCCTTCGTTTCGCGTATCTCTCAGTTGACGGGTGATTGCTAATGGCAGCGATCGATAGCGGTTCGGAGTTTCGCAAATATCTCAGCATCATTGAAGTTATATTTCGCAACATACCCTGCCATCAAAAAAGAATAGACAGTTAATAAAAAAAAGGTTAAGTAGGAACTCTTTGGATGTCTAGGGCTTCCATTACTACTACTCTCTCAACTGACTCAAATACCTTCTTTGAGTCGATGAAGGTGAGACAGAGGGGTCACTTGTACTCTCGTGAGAAGGACCTGTTATCATGCGGTCCTTGCTTGCTCACATTGCTGTCTTTCGTCTAGTGCTCTGTCAATCCTGTTTAGGACAAAACAAGTGAAAAGTTTGTAGGCGAGAAACAGCAAGATTGAGCGATAGTCGTACCTGTAGTAGAGGTAACCCTCCTTGAACAATAGCCCTTCCGTTGAGTAGGGACCTTGCATTCAGACAGGTACCGTGTGAACAGCCGACCCAGTGTATTTGTAAGGATTGGTGAAAGAAAGCTGTTCACATCATATCCTCTTCAGAACTTCTGTGGTTCGATTCTTCTCTGACGAAATACCATGTCTGGTCCAGAAAGGAAGAAGTGGTGATACGACATACCTGTCCTTTTTAATTTCATATGAAAGCAGGGGACGTGAGTTCTGAAGAGATCAGTGTAGTAATCGTGGGCGGTAGTTTCCATTGCCTTTGTGAAAGCTGTATCTGTTCCGTCTGGTCACCGAAGTGTAATCATGCTGCTTATGTAATTGGCGAAGTTTCTATGGGCCTTGCGAACGTTCTTTCCAGCTTCTGCAGCTTCGACCATTAGTACTGCTCTTCTCTCTTTAAGACCTTCTTTTTTCGCCTGTCTGCATTGTTTCGCTAGTTCGGACGTTAGTTCGCGGTTGCCTGCAGCTCGTGCGATTCTACGGTGGCATATTAGCTCGAGTGTTTCTGGAGACAGATGTCTCCCCGTAACTTTTGAACTCTCAGCTTTCACAGCGCTAACTTGAAGATGTTGAATGAGTCGATCGTATTCTTCGTCGATGTTATCGACAACAGCATCTTCCCATCAGCCGACTAACGAATTGAATAAGTAACAGTTTATGGTGGTTCTAGGACATCGTTTTTTAAGTTTAGCGGCTTTTTGTCCTTTCCGCGAGGAATAAAATCTTGCACGAAGGAGGCGATGGTCTGATCTCATGTAGAATTAGAGACAACAGCGAAAGTGGTTAGGAAAAGCCTGCGATTTGCTATGACATAGTCTTCTCCATTATTGCAACCTCCATTAAGAGACTCCCACGTTGAGCGTTGAGGATAGTTTTTGGAATCACAAGTTATGGTCTTATGGTCTCTGGTCTGGTTTCTCTGGTTATGGTCTGAGTTACTTTAGATGGTCTTGGTTGTCATGATAAACTCAGACAGCCGCCCTCTGTCTTTGTTCCATTCTTACCCACTTCTCCTAATGCGACGTTCCCCAGACGTTCTTCTAGGTTGAATCCTATCTTTAAATTTTCCAGTAATGATTTAAAGAATGTATGGTCTTCTCTGTAGAACTCTTCTAAAATGTAACACATCGATTTCTTCTTCATCATAACTTGTTGCCGGTGGATAAACGAAGAAGATTGTCGAAACCAGTATTGTTTTCCGTCTCTTCAACCGTAAATGTCCGAGTTAGTTTGTCAATTGCTCGAAAAAACTGATGTTCACGGCCAAAGTTTTGTTGTAGAAAACGCCGACGCCGCTGACTCTTCTGCTGTCGCATGTTCCCAGGAACAGTTCTTCTCAAGTGTCATGGACGGCGTTTAATGGGGCCTGTTCTCGTTTCGGGCAGTCCAATGATGTCGTAGCTTATCTTTTTTCCTTGTATGATCAAGTCTTCTATCAAGGGATCAAATTCAAGCGTATTGTGGGTACAGATCGTCATCTTAGTCCTTTGCAATTTAGGCAGCCTAGAACGGCCCTGAGATTTTGAGATTAGCGGCCTTTTAGCACTTGTAAATATAGTGGCACTGTAGAATGATTCGCCACGTAATCGCCGCCTTTTTCCTCGATATTTGCCCCTCTATTTGTCCAAGCTGCATCCATTTACCGAACTTTGGGCTTTTATCAAAAGCGTTAGGAATTTAGAGTTCTTTAAATTATACTTCATTTTGCTCTTCTTACATTGCAAAACCACGTTCTCTGAAATAATCAGTGACTGTTTGAAATATATTCGATAAATAGTGTACTGCTTTACCTGGATAGAGTTCAGGCATTTCTTCTGGAAAATCGCAGATAAACGTGCTCGATTCGCAGAAACACGCCCCACGGTCACGGAGAAATAGACGTTCGCCGAAGTCTAAATGTAGGCACTACCTACTCATACAAAATACTCGATGTCTACTTGCTTCATAGAGGTGATGTGGAAACGATGCGCAGATTGAATTTCTGGGACGACGGCCTCATATCAGATCAATGAACCCTATTCATACATTGAGTGATGTTTTTGTTATTTACAGTGAACCTTTCTCCAAATAACCTAAACCAATCGACTTATTTTCGGGGTTCCGAAATTTCCGAGAGTTTTCAAATGTTTCCTTCACCGTTTTGTTAATCTGCATGACAATTACCTTTGCTCTGCAGTAATATCCCACTAGTATCATTTCTCTCCGGTAGCCCAAAAACCTCTCGCTTGAAGAGACTCCCTATTTCTTTTTTCAACATCTCTACTTATACTAATTAAACATAGGTCCCATTTTCGTGATTATACAGAAAAACTTCCTGGAAGTCCTTGTTGCATATCGTTCTAGTCATAAACTTCTTAACAATAAATCCATAGCCAATGCTGAGAATTGGTACATATTTGCTTACACAGAAATCCGAACAAAAATTACCTATAAGCTCAGCTTAACATACCGACTGTAGCCAAAGGAGCTTCGCATTTCCCGTCCTCAAGACAAGGAAGGGGCTCGCAGACAAGTTCATCTTCAGCTATGCACTCACACCATGAAGAACATCGCGCTGACCAATCCACATATCTCTTCAAAAGACGAGTTTAGAGAGAGAATATCTTGCTTGAAGCCTCCGATCACAATGTATAAATGTTAGTTTCCGAAAACGCAAATCTTCTACTTTTTAGAGGGAAACCTCAATCTTCTACTATTTTGGACTAACCGGACTTCTATAAAAGAGGCACCTATTCACTAAGCATGCTAAGAAACGCACTACATTGAAGCTTTTACTTCACGGATACTGTTCATGTTATATATTTAGCTCTAATAAAGTAACTCCATGTAAAATGTAAGCCATCTATGACACTAGACAGATACAGGCTCACCCGCATCACAGTACCAATATGAGTGAAAATTTCTCGTCCACTGGCATCTTTCGCATTGCATCCTTCTGAAATCAAAGAATTTCTGAAAAATACTGCGGATGGTTCTAAGCCCCATAGAATATAAGACCAAATTTCCATGAAAAAAAAAACAGTATCAATCATAATAAGTCTCTCGCAAAACCTTCGTTCTTTAAACTCTGTAGCTTATTCTAAGGCTTCTGTAAACGAAAGTGGAAGTATCTTCGCCTCATTTTTTCTCTTCTCTAACACCTCTCTAACCCTGCAATCACGCTTATTACCGATTAAGCTGGCTGCAGTTTAGGAGACTATTCCTTCCTGCCGTCTGCTACAACGCTCAGTACGTGTCGCATAGTAAAGAGCTAGCTGGCTGGGTGTCGGCGTGCATCACTTCCTGATGGATGCGCCATGCATTTGACTTCATTAAGCATCGTTTAGAGGTGATTGAATGCATATCTGACCTTCACAATGGCTCGCGGTAGCCTACCGATGTATCGAGCCAGTGCTGCTATTCTCCTAGACAAGTCTGGTACCAATTTGCCGAGCCAGTAGGGATGGAGGTCTTGGTGGGCCATGGGCGTGGGGATCGATTCCACGTGTGTATTGCAGGGCGCCTCCGACCACTGCGTCACAAGCGCTCTTGTGGTTAGAACTCTATTTGGCGAGAACGTAACCATAGACAACTTGCTGACAACTGTGGAACTTCTTGTTTGAAATGTCGGACTCGATTTATTTGAGCGTACCATAATGAAACGGTAAAACGTCAAAACTTTTCTAATTATTGCAATTATTAAGAAAACGTTTTTTCCGAACGAGTGACGATCAACAGTATGAACCATTACAAAAATGTGTGTGGCACGATTATCAGGCTTCTTCAAAGTGGATATCACGCACTTTTCTTAACCCAAAGTAGGTCATACAACCAAAAGAAAATATTTCGCAACTAGTCATGGATCACATGTAAGATTTTACTACTGAATGGTTTTTGACAATTGACAGGCAGTCTTTGCACCACAGATTCTGCAGAGCTGCGCCATGGAAGATGCTCCTGTAATGCAATATCTTCTGAAATACAGCTGCTACCCACAGTATGTTTTGCTTCACAGTTCATATCTTTGCCGCACATCTCAATTACCCAGTTGAGCACGCAAAATCACATAATAAGTGAAGTAAGTAGATGGGTTAGACATATGCATAAAAAATAAACAAGAAGAACTGTAGAGTGGGACCAAAGCCATCTGGCCGTTTTTTTTTTCGGTGACCAATTTCATGAAGACGTGCTCGCGACCCTTTTCGACGCACTGTACTCTCTGCTTAACATAGATTCTTAATGGAGCAGAAGGACCATGGTCAAACTAGAAGAATGTTCATTGGTGACAGATGTTGCTGAACAACAACTGTTTAAGATACGTGGAGGTCTGAATCATTGAATAAATAGTACACAAGACCGGTATGAACGAGAAAAGGTATTAAAATGTGTAGATTTTACCGTGTACTATGCTAAAATTTCTTTTTATCATGCATTCGACACAAAAGCTTTACAATCAACTAATAAAAATATGAGACGGAAAGACCAATTCGTTGTATTCCTAAATTCTGTGCTCACACTACAATTTTAAAACACAATCGTAATGACTCTCAACGGTTTACTACTTCATCGTGGCTTGGAGATGTTTCTGTCTGAGTGTCATCGGGCCGCAATATACAGCAGGAGGATTCATCCCACAAATAGGGCCTAGCAAGCTGAGAAGGAGTTCAGTGTATTCACCAGGTAGCTCAGCTTAGAGTAAAAGAGTAAAACAGGGGGGGGGACCCACCACCGTCCTGGTATCTAACTAGACGCATGATGAAGATTCTTCCTCTGATCCACAAAGGTGGCAACTGCTCTTGGTAGTGATGACCTGGGTACAGACTTTAGCTAAGTTGACCTTGGGACTCCAGTGAACCACGGGAACTAAACCAGCAAAACTCCGAAAAAGGGGAAATAATGCTGGGGTCCGCACAACCATTGAAGACGGATTGTCGAAGTATCTAAGTATCCAAGTATCCAAGTAACCACAAAAACGCTGAGATGTTTTAAAAACTTGGATCTCAGTCCAGATTCGAACCCGTGATTAACCTTTTCGGAGGCCACGTATTACCAACTGCACCAATGAGGGCCTTGCTTTGCCTTTTTCGCAGCCAGCTTTCAGGATTTCAAATATAAATATGATAGAACCACATCGACCTTTCGGTGGTGGAGCATGGGTGACAAACGGAACTGTGGTAGTAGGCAACTTTTCGGTCGTCGTCACCCAAGGAGGCGGAGGCTCCGTACTCACCGGTGATAGCGTAGTACGAGGCTTCTCTTTCCGTTTTCTAAATAACGGCATTATTTTTACGACAAAAGGACAAAAACGCCACAAAATTTTCGCTATATTTGGGCTCTTACCCCTCACTACTTCCCTTGGGAGTCCTCATGTATGTTGCCATCAATGTCGATGTAGCCGATGTGGTCTCGATTGAGTCACCGTTTCTACGCTCCGGTGCTCGAACCTCGTTTTCTGTCGCTGAACTCTTCCATTTTTCAACCCTAAATCGTTCACGAGGAACATCCACATTCGATGGAATTCGTATTTGTCCTCCGAGCCCGTAGTCCGTTCTCCTAGCACTCGAGTATCCATCAGCTCCAGATTTGATAATTCCTCGACTATCGACCACGATTCTTGTTCTCGACGGTTGGAATCCTTCCTAAAACCTCGTGTTTGTCACAGTTCAATTTGCTAGTGAAGAAAACACAAAAAAGATCCATTGAGGCACGTAGATGCCTTTATTACGAGCTCATCAAAAGAAAGGATATAAATATGATAAAATGAAGAAGTAGAGAAATAGAAGGTAAGAGTACAAAAGCAAGCAACAGAGATGAGTACATTGTCATAAACTAGAGCTCGTTCACTTGAAAGACTTTAAAGGACCTTGTTCGGCTCCGATCAAGGCAAATTTTGCTAACTTTGCTATTTACTATTTCTCAACTAAGCGAATGAAGATCCATTAGATTGATGAGAATCAGTTATTCTTTAACGATATAATCTCAAAAATAAAAAATTGAAAGTGAAGGACAAAGAAATCTGTGGAAATGGCACAAATGCAAAAAAAACGAAAGAAAAAGAGTGAAAATGAGCAACTATTTTTATTAAAGTAAAGTAAACATTTTGGATTCAACACCAGCCTCAGCTTAACTGGGTTCAATGCCGATGTAGGCTCCCCAGATGAATCCCATTCACAGGCGATTGTTGATGGCACTGATCGATAGAACTAGCTGAGTTATAGGCGAAGCGAAGGACCCGCATGGTGTGGTGGTGATCGCGTTAGCTCAAGAAAAGGGTAATGGCGCGTTCGTTTCTCACCGCAGTCACCTGCGGTCCACAGTTTGCAAATATCTCAGCATCGTTGTGGTTGTATTTCGCCCAATACCCTGCTGTGAAGATTGTAGTAGGTGGAAAATAGACGAGGATGTCGAAGCTTTAGCCGAATAAAATTAATTCGTCAGCCTCGTGTTAAGCCAACGGTTTATATACACATCGACTATTTATTTAATAAAGATAAATGATGAGACTTAGATGAACCGTGAGCGAACCTTGACATCCGACTGTTTGGTGTTCTCCAGAACCCGATTTGTTTCGATGCTTGCCGTTTTCACGGCTGTGATTGTGTAACCCATAAGACGAGAATAATCGAGCATTGCTTTTTCTAAAAAACGGAAAGAAAAAACATCGAGAGTGATTCAAAACCGTAAACCTATTCCTTCATTTCCTAAGTTCTTCACTTCTTCTTATTCAAAAAATAAATACGAAATAAAAATTCTAGAGAGTCACCAATGCATGGGTTGTTTGGGATCATCACTCGCTGATGTCCCATACATTCCACGTCCGACAACGGACAGTAGCACGGTTGTTCGAGGACCGAAGCCCTATAAAATTACAATCGATTTTAGGCGCTTTTCTTACGGAACCTCCTGGGACGATGTCTTGCAGTAACTTTATCATCCCCACTTGAACTTGTCGACGATGGATATTTCCAAAAGCCTAAATGCGATGTACAGCGTGAGCTCGTCTCTCAGATAAGTTCTCCCAGGTTGACCACAAGTTTGACGTTTACACACGGAGGTAAAGATGAGTCGAAGTAAAAAATAAACGAAACAAAACCGAAGAATTGCCGACGATTTGGGAACAACCCTAGTTATAAAGTGTGGGAAATTCCTTCTTGATAACAGAAATTTGTTAACAGTCCTCGGATAATACGGCATTTCCACCCATAAACGCAGCTCCAAGTAAACGATTTTAAGGAACTACCAAATTCATCCAGTCGCAGAGTGGCAAACATCCTAATCCAAGGGGCTGAAAACTGACTGTGGTGCACAGTTGTACACAAACTCAGAAGGGTTTTTCGGGACCCAGGGAAAAGAATCTTCCCAAATCAGCAACATTTTATTTATGCTGAACACTTCTTGCGGTCTTTAGGGCTCTTTATGAAAATAGGCCATTCAAATGTTGTAGAACTTCACTGATTTTTTTGTAAATAGCAACATTGTTTGGTTAAATAGAAACAAACCGAAACTTCGCCACTATCACGCGAGATACAGCCTTCTTCCTAGCTAATTACTGACCAAAAAGTTTGAAAACCAACAGCTGTCTTTAATAGAAGGATAAAGGATAAAGCTCTCGTCGTTGATCAATCCTTGAGGAATGCACCATGCATTCGACTTCATTAAGCATCGTTTGAAGGTGATTGAATGCATATCTGGCCTTTACAATGACTCGCGGTGGCCTATCGATGTACGGAGACAGTGTTGCTACCTTCCCAGACAAGTCTGGTACCAATTTGCCGACTCGGAGGGATGGAAGGCTTGGTAGGACATGAATGCCGAGATCGATTCCACGTTTGTGTGCTGCAGAGCATCTCCGACTACTGCACCACTCGCGCCCTTTTGCGTTCAATAGTCGAGGTAATTGTGTTAATTTCATAAATATTTCTATTGATATAGAATATTTTATGATATTCCTGCCTATTTTACTTCCCGAAATAAAAAATGTGGGAAAATTTTGAACTTATAGGTTACGAGTTCAGAAAAAAAAGTGTCGGGAAATAAGGTTTAAATGTTTTGACAAAACTGCCATAAGTAAAAGTAATGGTGGCAAAAGTCGGATAGGTAAAACAGTGAGAAGAGCGAGGGATGGCTGTTAATCAGAAAAAAATTTGGATCCTAATTGCTAGGTGTAAAAGTAAGATCTATGCACTGACATCAGCAGAGAAAGTCCATGCACCAAAAAGATATCTATAGAAAACCCTTTACATAATCCCAAGAACTTCCAATTCTTGTCGGTAAAAGTACACTTTTTATCGCTAGTATTGTAAAACAAGTGCCAAGGAGATCAGCTTCCAGCGAATACGAAAAAAACTTTAAGCTATTTGCAAATTTCACGTAGCTTATATTGAATAAAACATACACATATGCGTAGGTCATAGATGGCTTATACCATTAGTAGTGTGTTACATTTCTTTTATCTACAAAACTACCAGGGGTCAGGTAGCGCTGCGATAGCTATGTCTCATCACGAGTACGGTGACGGTTCGACCCCTCCTCAGACTCACAAGACCTTTCATCTCTCCGTAGTCAAAAGATTGGTACCACACTAATCTGGGACCAACTCAGTCCCTCTAATCCAATTATGAGTATCCTAGCATAGCTATTCCATGATTTTAGGAAGAATCCACTCGACCAGCATTCGTCGACAAGGAGACGACAATCATCGAGCAGCAGCCGAACCCATAAGAAAACCGTTCGAATACTTCTGTAGGTGATGACGAGAATCTAATGCAAGAAGTGCTGGAATCCGCACAGTAAACGTTAAGTCGGGTCTGGTAAAAGAATTTAAAAATATAAAGACTACCGATGAAAACATTCCGATTTTCCGTGGTGGCCTCCAGTGATGATTCTATGAGCCAGAACCTTGGAAACCCCAAATTTTGCAAAAAAATGTCGAAACATGGCAAAGTATTTTAAGGCAAAGTTTGAATGTTCACTATTCCACACTCTAAGAATATCGGACAGGCAATTCCTTATCGCCAATCTTTGTCATCACTGGTGGATTATGTTCTCTTATATTCGAACTGGAAACATTATTAGTATACGCAGCTGGTACTATCATTATATTTTACTGTAGAGGCTTTAATATTTAAAGAATATATCAAACCAGCAACCTCGCATTGAGGATAGTTCGTCTACATTCATCTAGTGATGTTTTTGCGCATTCATCGCTCCCCACTGGACAGTTGGTAGCCAAAGAATGCCGTAGATGCCTGAAGTCTACAAAAATTTTAGAAAGCCAACAAGGAAGTCATTGCAAACATATTAGCTATCTTTTATGACAACTTTGAACCGAGACGCTAAAGGTTCGAATTATTGTATTATGAAAGTAATGTAAGAGAGTCTAGACTGGTTAGAGGCTACTAGGCGGGTAACATGTTTGCGCATATGGCTTAAACGTGAGGTAACCATAAGCTTTCTTTTACGCAACTGGATGCCAAGGATATGTGAATCCCTGTGATAAGCCGGTGTTTGTTACACCTTCTTTAGTGACAAAATCAGGTGACCAACCGACATCGAAGGTCTTCGTCGCACTTCCGCACGGCTTCCGTACACGTTATAGCAGTCGACGAAGTCGAATAAAGGCACTTTGGATAAACGACTTCCTAAAAATTCAAAAAAATTAATGCAAGATTAGCTCTTTGTTCTTAATCAGGCTTCACGAAGCTACTGATACCCAAACAATGACTAACGCATCGTTGAATTTCAACTTCTTCTTGGCTGTCATAATCATATCCATTTCCTAGGTGGGGATAAAGGTGAAATCAACCAAAGCGACAGCCCTTGTGAAATTGATATCGTCCTAACAGCTCTACAGGAAGAAATTAACTTTGCAAAAGCAAGGCGGTTTCCTTTCTTGGCACGAAATCTTAACCACCTACAAAATGACTTCTTCTATTCATTCATATCATTGATCAATCATCATCTGATTCATCTACTCTTACTATTAATCCTTTAACCGCTGGTTTACCACTCAACTATAAAAATACCAGTAATTTTGGTTTTGCACATTCTACGTCGTCGCGGTGGGATGCACATTTCGGTTTTCTATATATGTGAAATGAAGGAAAACCTACGCTTATAAAAAGAGCCGTTTCCAGCAAAAGTTATGAGAGGATGAATTACCAGTAATGCCTGGATATGATTTTCAATGGCTACTGAAACAGCACAAAGTATCGCCAAGCTCCGAATTTCTGTTAGGTCATTCAGAAATAAATGAGCGTTTCTAGCTACATTATTTAAGATGTCACAACTTGGTTCAAACAAATTGATCAGAATGAAAACCGCTTGAATCTAATTGTTTGTACCAACGAGAAACAAGTTTATTTATTCCACTTCCACAAAATTCTGGAGTTCTGGAAGCGATGAATTCCTTGAGTGCATTTCTGCATCATCGCAGTTGGTGAAGGCGAAGAAAGAAGGAAAAAAGTGAATTTCTAGCGCAGGAAGCTGTCAAGGTGCTTGAAGAACTGGTAGTCGGTAGGCGAGAAGTCTGAGAATACGGCGAATGAGGGAAATTTCGTAGCCCAACTCGTTCTACATCTGCAGCCTTGGTTCCGCACCGTGAAGCTGGGCGTCATCGTGGAAAAGGATTGGTCCTTTTCTGTTGAATAATGCTAATCGCTAATTTTGGACTTTACGGTGCATTTCGTCGATTTGTGGTAATACTTCTTCTGTAGTAATCGTTTCGCCCGGATTCAAAAAGTTGTGATGAATAAGCCCGGCTGCAGACCGCCACACAGTCACCATAATCTTTTTTGGTGCAGTTTCAGCTTGGGCTAGTGCTGTGTAGCGTGATCGCAATCCACCCATTGAACTGAACGTTATGCAAAGTCACTTTTCGTCACAAGTCGCACTTTGACCAAGGAAAGGATCGATTTTGTTGCGCAGAATAACAGCAGACGACACTTCAAAATGGCGATTTCTTTGATTATCGTTTAATTCGTCCGGCACCACCAGGCCGAGTTCTTTTGTCTTTCCTATGCGATTCGAGTGAGAGGAAATTGTTCCTGTGCTTACGCCAAGCTGCTCTGCAAACTCTCGAACAGTTGTTCGCGCTATTGCTTCCATTAGTGCCTTCAATTCGTTGCCGTGAAGTTCTTTGGAACGTCCGCGACCTTCCTTATCTTCGACGTCGAAATCACCAAATCGGAGTTTCCGGAACTATGTTTGCACTGTTGACTCACCAACACTACCTCTACCCCAAAGTTCACTAATGTTTCTAGCCGCCTCTGCAGCACTACGACCGAGTTTGAACTCATAAAAGAAAATTTGGCGAAAATTTGTTTGGACATCTGAAATTGCAAAGCTCAAAATTGGTGAAAAAATTTAACTCTCAGCAAAATATAAAAAAAGCTTAAAAAGGGCATAAAATCAGCTTTAATATATAATATTGTAAGGTACTAAAGTACTTTGTTGGTGAAAAATACATTGAAAGAATAGATATTTTAAAAGGCCCATTTATTTCTTAATAACCTAACATTGTTCTACGATTGAATGTGGCCATCACACTGAACGATCACCACAGGTTCTGATATCCCTTCAGATCAACAAGGTTCTCATACAGCTCTCAGCTATACTACGTAGCACAGCTGCGTTTTCATTTTCAGATGTTCTTTGCTCTAATAAATAATTAAGCCCAGATTCCGAGCTTCGTTAAAGCCAGCTATAGACATCTTTGGGACATTTTTTTCAAGTGTTGCCCACTTATCAAAGTAGCAACTCTTCTTCTACAACTGCGAAGCTAACACTTTGGCAAAGAGGAGTAACTCCGTCCATCTTCAGAAATAAGTGGAAGAGGGTTGAAAATTTGAAAGCCGACTGAAATGCAGTGGTAGCCGAACGTCGTTTATTAGATTGACGATGAATTCAAGGGGAGCCATAGTTGTCAGCGCTCCTGTTGCTGCTCTCTGGCAATTTGAGACCGACTAATGGCCCATTAGACAAAAGTGAGGCGTCGACAAGCAAAGTAGGTGAGTATATACGAAATCATCTGAAACAATAGAAACCCCTTGCTGGCGACCTGCAATATTATTGGACTTGTTTCGTGGTAGCAGCAAAAGACATTTCTTTCAAACTGATTCGTTTTGTTAGCCGCAGATTTTGCACTTTATTTCCGACTAATTGGACCATTCATAAAAGACGAAAAAGTTAACCCAATAAACAGCAGCTACAGCTTCAGCGCAGATTCACTAAAAGAAAAAGAAACAACAGTTCGAACATGTGTGACAGTGAGGCATCCGTCTTTTGTTGTTGTTGTTGCCGTGATCCGATGGCTCAATTTTCCGTAAGTTCGCCTTCTTCAGAACCTACACATATTTTATGTAACGATATCCATACATTTCGGTGTACTGTGTAAAATCCCCCAATCGTCTTGTTATATACCATGGCACTTTTCAAAACACAGACTTTCGATAAACCTCGACGTTAATAATCATACGTAATTAATAAGGAAAGGGGAGGGGCGTGTGGAGTACTGGTCGAAGGAGCCCTACTATACACGTGGGATCGATCCTTGTGCTTATGGCCCACCAAGCCTTCCATCCCTCCTGGGTCCGAAAATTTGTACCAGAATCGTCTGGGAGGATAGCAGCGCTGACTCCATCAGTAGGCCACCGCGAGTAATTGTAAAGGTCAGACAAACATTAGATCACCTCCAAACGATGCTTAACGAAGTCGAATTCATGGCGCATCCTTCAGGGATTGATCAACGCCGAGGGCTTTTATCCTTTACGCAATTAATACGTAATATGTTTGGCTATCCTCCTGTTATCCCATAGCTACCTCAAAAAGATTGAAGCTTGTGGGACGGTAAATCCATAGAATTCGAATTGTGATGTAGACCGTGGGTTCGCCTTGCAGAACCGTCAGCGAAAAAAAAGAAGTTCAGCATTTACACACGCAGTCCAGGAAAAACCAATGCCAGAAAACGCCAACGTCCTCCAACAAAACTTATTCAGAAGGTAGTGTGATTCCCATCGAACCGTGTAAGTTGGAAACTGCTTATGGACATACAGACATGAGTTTCCCGGGATTGAAAGAAAAAAATCTCGTCCAACCACCAAAATACAAACCGTGTGGAAAATTTGCAAAGGAGAACGATACAACGTAAAAATAGGCCATACAAGTATTCAAGCCTTTCCAACTTACATTTTTACAGAAGACAAACTTCAAGAGATTTTCTATAAAGTGCCGAACCTGCTGTTGTGTGCACAGCGAGTCACCAGCCGAGCAGTGACAGAACATCATCGACTCGACCAGTGCGAACGGCACGAATCTTGCGAAACGTTGCAATGCCTGAAACGATACGTCAATGGAGTTGGGATTTTCCACAACTAGGTCAACATTATTAAGGATGCTCGTGGCGCAGTGGTCAGAAGCGTGCTGCAATACACACGTGTGATCGGTCCCCGCTTTTCGATAACAGCTGATGACTTTCTCTGCTCAGCACTGCTTAAGTAACTCAGGACTTGACATAGTTATGAAACGAACTTCACGCTATCGCTCTAAGCGTACGCACAATTTTCCTAAAACGTTCATTAAAAGATATTTATAATCAAGGCCAAAAAACTATTAAAACAATAGGAGAGTTAAAAACTGTAACCCAGACTCAGCAGCCTCGTCGACACCAACATATTGATAACCTCATGACTAGAAATAGGTTCACGTCTATTACTAGAAAAAATATCATATCTTATATACGGCTTGCAAAGTTCAATTTTTGACAAGTGATTCTTTTTGTTTTCATTTTTTTCGCTTTTTTCATTTTCAACTGCTATGATGGGTCATGCTTCCTAACGGTTTACTGCCTTATCGCTGCATAGAGGTGTTCCTGGGTGTCAAACTGCGAAACACAGACGCCGAGGTGTCCGGCGTTTCCATCAAAAAGTTCAGTTAAGAGTAAACCACACCAGGAACCGTCGCTGTCCTAGTATCAAACTAGTCGCATGCTGGAAAACCATCCTCTGATCCGCAAGGGCAGCGATTACCTGTAATGGATACGACCCGGGGCAGACTTCGGCCAGACTGACCTCGGCACTCCAGGAACCACAATGGCTAAATCTACAAAACTCCGAAAAATGGAGATTGTGCTGGGGCTCGAACAACCACTGAGGACGCGTCGTCCAAGTATTCAAGCATGATGGTTCATGATTATCTTATGGAATGGTGTGTTATGAAAACACCGAAATACCTTTAGATATTACATTGCGATATTCTCATTTCCTTAAGTTCCTCTAACTGACAAAAAATTATCGGTTATGATAGAAAGGCCAACATTTGGCGTGTTTAAATTGAAGATTTGTTCACGGGTTTTTTCTCTTGCTTCTGTGAAATCAACAGTGGTCCTTAATGAGTTAAAGGGGTGTTTCAACAGCACTATCGCGATCTGCAGGATTGAAAGAAATGTGAAGAAAAACAATGTTTTGTATGCTTCAGAAAGTCCATCTTCGCCGTGGTAAAAACAAGGAAGAGCACCTTACTGGCAAAAGTCTTTAAATTCTAATGATATGAATTTCAGCTGACGAAGTCCTGTTTGAGGAGAGATGCGTCTATTCAATATGGAAAAACTAAAATTTCTACGCGTGCGCATTGAAGTCAATACACAAGGTGCATTATCTGTTGAGTGGAATGAGGAAAGGTGATGAATGGCTGATAACTAAAATCTGTAAAATATCCCTGAAGCTACGATGCAATCTCACTACGATCTGATTTTGTTAGATACTTTTTTCTTATAAGTTATTAAAATTTTAAGGCAAAACTCTACAATAGAAGGTAACCTGTCAGGTTTCTAGACGCAAGTTCCGCTTCCATACCTTCACTTATATAGATATTTATAGTTCTAATAGGGCAACCAATGATTTGGAGAATTAAAAATATCGTATTTGCCGAAACCCTCTGCTGTCTGCACACCTAAATCTTCACGTCACGAATATCTTGAAGGAAGAGTGTTTTTCAAAGGATGTTTTTTGAACAAATTTCCAGTTCAGACGTTAACACAGTAGCCATCTTATTAATAATACATTTAGCCGAGACGGTTCAAAATCACTAACGCCGTCTTAAACGATGTGCTAATGGAGTACTCGATTTCCGCCTACGACGCTCCCATTAACAACCTAGAGTTTACCGATACCTGGCCAACGTAATGCATCACGTTGTGAATAAATATGACAGCGAAAACCACTTCACTCGAAAACTAATGAGATTCTTGCTATGGTTCCATGAGAATTATAATAAAGGATAAAGGATAAAGCGTTGAGATCGATCAATCGTTTAGGGTTGCGCAGTGAATTCGATTCCACTTGTAGCGCCGTAGAGGCTGGATACATATTTGGCCAGCTCAATAACGTTCGGTGGCTTGCTAATGTATCAAGAGAATGTTTCAATCCTTCCAGGTAAGTATGGTACCAGTATGAGAAGTAGATGTAACTAACTAAGGACAAATAAGGAGAAGATTGGCATAATTGCAACAACCGAGGTAACGAATCCCATACAGTAAAAATATAACGGAGAAGATTACATGAAGAATAAAAGGATAAAGCATTCAGAGTTGACCAATGCCTAAGGGATGCCTCAACCATTCGGCTTCATTAAGCATCGTTGGAGGTGATTGAATGCATATCTGACCTTTACAATTACTCCCGGTAGCCTACCGATGGAGCCAGCGCTGCTATTCTCCCAGAAAAGTTTGCCACTAATCTGCCGACCCCGGAGGGATGGCAAGCTTCTTTTACATAATATGAATAGGAACACCCAAAGAAAAGTGACAGAGTTGGAGCAAGGTCAATGTACCTTAAGTCATTGATAAGCTAACACGAGGTTATCATCAGTCATTTATTCGTCTTCTTTCTCAGAGTCCATGACCGGAGTAGATGTCCATAGTCATTCATCTTCTCGATATGGCGTCTTCGTCTTCGTATAGCCGAATAAATGACTGCTAACGACCTCGTGTTAACTTATCAATGAAGTAAGGTACATTAATCATTTATACCTAGGCTAAATGAAAGACAATGATATTGGAGAAAGATTTTAATAGGATACAATTAAAGTCGATAATTTGGTAGAGTAATTACAATTATAAAAAATATATTCCTTTAAGTAATGACTGGAACAACAACTGGAATGACTGGAAAAAATTGTGAACACTAGAAAAGCATGTGAAATGCATAAATAATGTCACGGTCACACGAAGTACCAATATATCTACATTCGTGAAAGAGGCATTGTCTAATGGCGGCAACACGTAATCCCAGCTTGACACGTTAAAGGAGAATTCAAACCTTAGTCGCTTCCTCCTTAGCAGATCGTGTCGATTCCAAAGCAAAGAATTAAAGAAGGAAAAATATGAGAAATTCATAAACGATAAGAAAAATTAATCACCGTTCTATTGATACTATTGATAACATCGGTGGGAGTGATTGTCCTCTACATATCACTTCAGAATCCAGGAAAAAAAAACTTGCAGGCACTGCTTTTCATGAAAAAGGCAATCTCTTTTAGACCGTGGTCGCGGTAAAACGAGCGCAATAGAAACTGCACGAATTTTCGTGGGACCCCTGATCAAGTATGGGTCTCTCAAAGTAAGTAAAATGTTGAGAGCTACACAGAGAACCTACTAAACCTCCCGTCTCTCGAAAGAATTCAATCGAAAAATGAGAACCTTCTGCAACAGCGAACTTCTCGTTGTAAAGCATGGAAACAGAATATTCCAAATGCTTACAAAGCTCATAAAAAGAATCGCATCCTCAGTATTCACAATAAATTACTTAAAATCGATTAAGCCTATTTGAAATAAAACAATAGAAACTTGAAAAATTTCAAAAACTCAAAAACACATAAGCCTCTCACTTAGTGAAAGTTCGGAAGTGCTGATATGTTTTTTCTCAATAACAAGTACTTAGGATGGATAATATTTGAAGCCGTCTACTCAGCAGATTGCATCCGCAGGCAGTGGCCCCCCATTCAATAAAACCGAAATTGCTGCGTGTTTATGGGACTTCCGTTGCGGCTACTGAATCATATAATCCTGAAGTTTTCAGTAAAAGCTCAACCTCAGTCATCGAGTGTTTAATGAAATGGAAGAACTATGACCTCATTTGTAAAAAGTGCAACAAACAGCAACACACTACTGTAATCTCGCTAATCAATGTTAGAAGTGAGCAGTTATCAGTAGGATCGATCTTCATTTGTCCCCGTAGCCGGTTCAGAACTATCTACTGGGCTTAAGTCGTAAAAGGAACACAATGTCAGTGAACACTTTCTGAGACGTTCTTCTTTTGATCATGTTTAAGTGTACGGTAGCTGTAGAGAGTTTGCTGAGCTCTACCATCATGTAGCTTCACCCTCTACTAAGCTTTCGAATAAAAATGTTAAACTCCCTTTCAGATTAGATGCCACATGCTGGTTCAAAAGACCCCCGGTGTAAATTCGAAAACGTAAACTATTAGAGGACATCAGTAGACTACTGTAGGTGGTAACGAAGCTCAGATCTCTCTCTGTCGAACTCACTGCTTAATTTTATTGCTTGAATATCGAAGTCCAATGTCATTCAAATAACCGATTATGCGAGAACCACTACCAAAAGGTCTAAGGTTACTTCACGTACCGCGGAACATTCGGCTCGTCGACATGAGCTCGGCGTACACCTCACACGCAATTCGCCTAAGTGCCAACGGCATTCATCGGCCGCTTCACAACGTGCCATTGCGTCCTGACACGATGAACCTGAAGACACAATACAGTGTAGCGCTGAAGAATAGACGTACATATAGCATTAATTAAATTTCAGAGCAACTCCAAATTAGAAAAGCCGACAAACGTTGGAATTTCAAAACCTGAATAAATTAAGTATAAATATCACTGCAGATACAAATAAAGAATAGAGACTAATTAAACTTCTATGTTACACATCAAATTAGTTGTTGAAGTGCTTTAGAGAATGGTGACTGAAAAAGCAAAGGAGGAAAGGCGTTGAGACAATTATATAGCCATTCATCGTCACACAGCTTCAATTTCAACTGTCACCTAATATTCGCACACCTGGGATTGTCGAATAAGGCATTCAGTAAAATTTGTGATGAAAACTACAACTCAACGACGTTTAACACACCTACATGAATCGCTTGACTTCACAAAAATTCGGAACTTTGGCACTGTTTCTACTTCGTAGGCAAGTTCCTGCTTCAGTACGACTTTCCTTCATTGGAGGCCTAGGAACGCCGTCCTAGTGCTTTCCCAGGTGGCCAACGCGGGTAGATCTTTTCATTGAGAACCGGACTGGGATTTGTCACCTTACGACTACGCTATTGCTACGGCTATGGCGATTCTTGTCAATGACTTCCTCCTACTTGGGTTTCCAAATGGAAATACCTTCATTAGCATGGCAGATCTTTCTAGGTGGACAAGCTCCTCGCTGCACATATTTTAGCCAACAACAAGGTACACTATAATCTACTAAGAAGTAGGAAAGCATCAGAGCTTTCGGAAGCGAAACCACTGAGTTGAAATATTTTTTCTTCTATTGCTGCTTATTTATGAATTTTCTCTCTACGCAATGCAACTCACGAACATCAGCCGATGATAACACTACTTCCTTACCTTTTGCCTAATATAGTTACTCTAGAGGGATAAACTGAACGTGAGTTCTAGTGTTGTGTAACCTATGAAACCTCCACTTTTCTTAGGGGAATAGATGTCGCTTTTTATTTAAAGAAATACTAAAATCGGAAGTATTCACAACAAAAGTCAGCTCACCTTGCTGCTTCGTTACGTGCGAATCAGTGATTATAGCCAGCAAACTGACACAAAAGATCATAGTCGACTAAATAGTCGATGTATGATCAGAAAGTGTTTCGCTCCTCCTGCGATCATCTGTCAGGTACGCGACAGTAGATGATGCCGAAGGTTTACTCAGACGGAACGGTGAACTAACTTATCAAAGAGCATCGTAAAGGTGCAGCACAACAGAACAAAGCTTCGCTGAGTTGTGAGAAAGAGCGGCGATTCTCTCTCCAGTCAAATCCGAAAGGTGACGCTCCGCCCTCTGTGTTGGGTAGGTATGTGCGTATGTGTGGGCGTGTGCATGTATGTCTGTGTGTATGTATGTGTGTGCATGTGTGTGTGTGTGCGTGTGTGTGTATGTGTATCCTTATGTGCGGTGGATATGTCGGTGTGTGTGCATGCGTGTCCTTCGTCGATGTCATCCTCGTCGAATCAGCATTATTACTCTCGAAAAACATACCACGAAAAGAGGTAATTACTCGCCGGATTTTCACGTTAACACGATAGCAATGAACTTTTGCGTAGGCGCTTCTCGAAAGGAATAGAGGAAGAGAAGAAGGCAGAGAGGAAGGAAGCGATAGCTTGCTGCTAGTCGCCAAACGCGTTGTCACTCTCCCCCACCTCGATTCCGCAATGAAGGGCCGATCTGCCAAACTTCCCGACGCAAAATGAGTTCTGTTTCAAGAATCGATTTGCTCCTGCACTCTTTAGCAAAGCCCGCCTGTACAAATGGATAAAAATGTATGAGCAGAAAAAAGAGAGTAGGCTAAATATTCTACGAATGCAGAAAAAAATAGATGTTCCTGGAACTACGTAGAAATCTTTAGTGACTAGTACGCTCGTCGGTTTACAAGATGTCATGTCATAAGACACTTAAGTACCTTAGCGGAAGTAGGATTCAAATTTATTCTCGCAAGGAAAAAAAGCTTTGTTGGTTTTCTACCTCGGTAGGATTAATTAACCAATTGCCTAAGTCCATTTTTCACGTATCCATTAAAGGTACGAAATCTTAAAAGGTCATTATAACTTTTTTTGTATTTTAGCACTTATTGTTCCAGTAACTTGGTAATCGTTTTGCATCACCCAACTTTGTTGTTATTTATTTCAAAATGCTCTCCTTCTGATTATTCATATACTTACTTAAATTAATGAAATATAGGAGGTAATCATCGTAAATCGTGTGCGTAGGCCTAATTCGTTTTGCTTAGCTGGGAAAAAGCGCCTTTGCGGGGGCGATGATTGCCTTATCCTACATATAAATCCACTAGTGAGTATTTTAAATTTAATTGTTGAAGGCTGTCTAACACTGTAAAGAAGAACTTAAGCCTATAACTGCAGACCGAAAAAGCACCGGAAATTCCCACTCGAATTCCATCGGTGTTGCGGCTGCAACATTGTTTTGCTGCGTTATCTCCTCCTGCGAAAGAACTTTAACACCTTAGATGGCTGATATCACCTACAAAAATATGAAACAATAGAAAAATAACGCGATGGTTCTGTTAACAATGACTTGGTTTGGTCTTTATTATAGTAGCAGATGTGGGATTCGTTTACTGACCCATGTGGTGATTCCGAAAAAGTGGTGGCAGTGTCTGTAAGATTCAAACTCTACTTGTGTGATGAGGAAAAATTCTCACGTGACGGCTGTTGTGAACAAATTAACTACATCTATCCAAACTTGACGTCATTATCAAACACAACTTTTATAGAAAGAAAGAGAAGTAAAAGAAAAAAGTGCGAATGTATTTGTAAAAAGCTAAAACATTTCCCTCAGAAAACTGTTTACTCCGAGGCAGATGTCACTCTTAAAATCCCCTTCTTATACAAAACTTCAGGTCGATGGAGGAAAAAATTAGAAGCAGTCTGTGTGTTCTGCACTAGCTGAATAAGGCAAACAGAAGTGTAACGGTGAAGATTTCAAAGTGAAGGTCTCAAATCTTAATATAAGAAAGAATCTCCTCTCATAAAACTCAATTAGCCACTTCCTTAACACGGATTGATTTTTAATATGACGTCAGCCACATTTGCAATTCTATGGGGATTCTTTGCAGGGTCCACCTACGAAACCTACAAGAAGCAAGCATGCATACTTCCAAAGAGTATTGTCGACTCACTGTCGACCCATTGTTGAGTTACTGATAAGCAATTTCGACTGTTTCATTACAAGACAGATATAATAACTATTTATATGGATCCAAAAACAATATGAGAAGAACAAGTCCGGATCCTTGGGATTATTTATGAACAAGTACTTTCATGACCAAAACGTCTCCCAAAGGATATAACATCTATGCGGCATTCGATCTGAGCCACAAAACCTCAATGTAGCTCTCCACCTCCGGAGCATCCATCCTTTACAGCTCATTTTGACGATCACCTTCAGCACTACCACTGATACCTTTATTATCAGATGATTCATCATCGTTGGGTGAAACGCGCTGAGTTGGCCGTGAAGACAGAAAATATAAAATATAGTTGGAAAAAACCAAAGGTGAAAAACGAATGCGGAGAAAATCCCACGCAATGAAAACCAACGCAGAAGCAAGGTTTCGATACAGTGGCTGGAACGAATAGTTCAAAGAGGGGTAAGTCCATACAGTTCATGGAAAACTGCAAAGTTCAAATTTTTAGAACTAAATGTCCCGGTGATGAACATGTTCCTTAAAAATGAGAACATCCTCTCCGTACTTACGCTATGGCTCATTGGCAGTTGAAAATCTTCGACAAGTGCCCTCATGGCGTCTCTTGAGCGAAGAATGTCCACGAGGGAAAGAGAGTCACTCGACCAGCAAATTGCAAGACTATTTCAATCATGAGCAATTGGGAATGAAAGAAAAGCAGTAAGGGAGATGATGGATGAAAAAAAAGACTTCCAAATTTCATTTCTACTGAACAGCATAAGATGGACAGATAAACCTTGTCTGAAGTATTGATGAACCCCTTTGAGAACAGCTAGTTCTCCGAGCGACGGTTTATTAAACAAAAAATAGCTCCTAGAGAGCGGTCTTTTAAAGAATGAAGGACCGATTATCGATCTTTGATCCTCGAAAACAATAATTTTTGGAACAACTGCGGCAAATCGTTTATGTGGTCTTTGGGCCTTTTATTTATGAATGGAAAGCAGACCGAGAAGGAAAAGTGCAGACATTGAAATCAGCCTTTCCAGAAATGAGATATGCTGTGAGGAAATAGTTTGGCTTTGATGATCAGAATGTTTGCTTAAAAATTATTAACCGTATCAATAAGAAAAAAGACACAGATTCATTAAACATCGAACAAAACGAACGAACAGCTGAGAATTTTTCCCTACTGGTCACCATTGCGTGCCTAGTATTCCCATGTCGTTCGAGGGACACGAAACAGCTGTGATTTTCCATATGAGACTTCCGTCTTCTACACATTTGCCCATTTTTGGTTTAAGGCCTCACTGCGATTAGGCATTCCTATCAGACGGTTGATGGCGAAATCATCACCTTTTTGAGGAGTACTGGTGAAATACTGACGATGTTAACGATCTAAGAAAGCAACAACACAGAAAAAAAAACATGGCCTAATATTTGCCGATAGATGGTTCCTCGATTATAGAAGCCAACATCGCACATATAACTAAAACGTTTGAGAAACAATTAAAAAGCTATGACAATGGATATCTGAAAGCACCATGGCCACGCTTAAAATAAAGGATAAAGCTGTCGGCGTTGATTAATCCCTGGGCATGCGCCATGTATTCGATTTCATTAAGCAACGTTGGAGGTGACCGAATGCATATCTGGCCTTTACAATGATTCGCAGTGGCCTACCGATGTATTGAGCTAGAGCTGCTATTCTCTGAGACAAGTCTGGTACCTTTTTCTGAACCCGGAGGGGTGGAAGGTTTGGTGTACCATGAGTTCGGGGAACGGTCCCATGTGTGTGCCGCAGGGT